GCGAATAGCATGCACCATGGCACATCCCCTTGAATATGGTGTGTTAACGCGTTCATCACCAGGGCGAATAAGAACGGACTGAGCGCAGAACCTTGGTGTAACCCCATTACAACCGGAAAATGCTCAGAGTCTCCTCTACTGTCCTAACCCGAGTCTTAGCCCCATCATACATGTCCTTAATCGCCATAATGTAGGGAACCGACACACCTTTTGCCTCCAGGCATCTCCAGAGAATTTCTCTAGGAACCTTGTCATACGCTTTCTCTAGGTCAATAAACACCATGTGCAGATCCTTCTTCCTCTCTCTGTATAGTTCCACCAACCTTCTAACAAGGTGTATAGCATCAAAGAAGGAACAAAAAGAAAAATAGGTTGGATAAATCTTTGTCGCCCAGGATTTGGCTTCTGTGATATACTTGTTACATAAAAGCTTATGAATCCACCTTTGAGTTTGTAATAATGCCGGACAAGGAGAACAATGAATGTTTCTTATAATCAGTATCAGTGAAGAGATGCCGGAAAAATTACCAGTTCCATACCGTATGCATTTCTTCCTTGCACGGGGAACATGATACCAGATTTTATTCTTGATATCCTGCATCTCTTGTGGGGCTGAACATGGAAACTTATTTTGTTGCAGAATGCAATCACAAGTGGTTGAACTGAATGGAAAGATTGAGACCGTAAACAGGGAAAGGAAATATCATCAGGTAAAAGCAATTTCTGCACTAGTTTACAGCATTGTAATTCACAGAGACATACGTATTCTTGTTGTCGAAATTGGTTTAAACGAATAACTTTGAATTTTATGGAATATTAGAAGTCATCTTTGTGTAAGCCTCATTAAACTCTCACTTTTGGCAAGAGATGGAAACTTTTTCATAAATCATGTACAAATCTCTCTTGCATGTAGAAAGACCATAAAAAAGTATGAACTGTATTTAACCCTTTGGACTTTTTTTTCAGGTACTGAACTATCTTTCTGTTGTTTAAAAAGTGCCTACTTTAACAGCATCCGCGAATCAAATATGGAGGTTCTGTTAGCTTTTTAAAGTATAAAAGGAAGAAATAAAAACTTTAGGCCCTTTTTCTTTTGTTCTCATTTTGGTTACTCCTACTATATAAAATAAGATTCATTAGTCATAGTCCTTTGAAGATTTTGCTTTTTAGCTTTGTTTCTCTAATAAAATATGTTTGAATAAGCATATCTGTTTTTCTCTTTGTATTCTAATTTTTTTGACATTGATCTTATTCCTTTTTCACGATTAACCAATTTTATCTATCATTTCAGTCCTTACCTTATGTATCAGTTAAGTATGAATATCTTGTAAGTACGTTGCTGCAGTGTCTTTTAGCAAGATTTTATTCTTCGAAAGTAAGCCCAAAAAGTGATATTTTTATGTTTAGCCAATCATTCATTACTTTTGCTAAAGAACAATAGTCTATCATTGAATTTTAGTTTATTTATCTTATATTCCTCATCATTGGTAAACTGTTAACTGAGGATACTATGAAATTTTCTAATTAACTCTTGCAAAGGACGAGTTTACTTATAGGAGATATAGTGGTAAATTGAAAATTAACTAATTGCTTTTCCTTAAGCCAATTAGAAATTAGAAATTTTCTAATTGAAGTTGTTCTTAAAAAAAAAAACCATTTTTGTGAGAAGGGTACTCTTTTTTTATGCATATACTTTGTCCAGCTAGTTGAAATCCCCATACATTTATTTATAGTATATAAATTGCTGATTTTCTTTTATCACTGTTCTTGTACTGCTCATGTCTGGTAATCTTTCTTCGCCACTGATCAGCAAAATACTGCATATGAGCTCAATGCTTTGTCCATACAATGGAGAGAGCTTTGTTTGAAGAACATGGAAATCCAATCTGCATGTGTTGAATTGGAAGACCAAATTGAACAGCTGAGGACGGAAGCTAGAGAGAGGTAGTTTTTGTCTTGTGTCTCGTCCATGCTTTTCCCTTTTCAGCAAATTGATATAATCATGCTATCTTCTCTTGCGTCAGGGGCTGGGATTTGGATGCTAATATTGAGAATGGCAAAATCCATGTGGCAGAATAAGGTATTGATTTGCTATCACTCTATTATGCTTTCTTTCTGGTCCATTGAATTGTTGCAGTTATAACAGTATATGTTGGAAAAAATGAAGATATAGAAAGCATATGGATGGGTGAGTAGGGAAAGGAACTGGAAAAATGGAAAAGATAGTGAATCGTTACTCCATCTGCGAGGGACGGATACACAGAATTACAGAAATGAAAGACACAGGAAGAGCAAAAGTTGGGAAGTGACGAGATCTAATTTTGAGTTTCTAGTAGTATCATCTTTTCCATTTAATGCGTCTTAAATTGCTTTTGGAAAATGACAAAAGAAGCCTTCACTTCCCATTTCTTCCTTCTAAGCTATGAGGAGTACCCTGAAATATTATTGAGGAAGACAAAAGTTCTCTATATTGGGTTTCACTGGGTGTTTGCATGTCGAATGTGGGTAGCACCTACATGCCTTTATGCCTTTTCTATTCAATCTCAACAGTGAGAAATGTAACTACTTTTTGTAGAGGGATGGGTCCAAAATTCATGACGATTTTGGCAGTGCAGGATCTTGTTGCTGGACTTGAAGGCGAAGTTGGTTAGAGTTCTTGCTTTAGGTTGAAGTGGTGAGGCTTATTCGTGTTTCTGCTGTAACATCAATTGTAAGCCATAGCTTTTTCTACTTTGTTGGGGAACGATCAGTATAAGAAAGAAAACATCCTAGTTGTGAACATTTTAGATGGACTAAAAAGATGAGAACCAGGAAGGTTGCTCTCCACCAAAAATGAAACAGGTATGTGACAATGAGATGTTTTGTCACCTCACGTGATTCTCATTGTGTAGTGATCAAACCCCCAAATTTCTGAATATGAGCATGAAACCAGAAGAAGCAAATGGACCAGCCCATGATGATCCTAAGATGCGTTTAACTTAGCATGGAAGCTCCTAGAGCGCAAATTGAGTAAGAAAATAATTGGATTACTATATTGAAACTATTTGCGACATAGAAACGGCATTTCTTTCCCAGAAAGAAGTGCCCTCAAAGTTTGAGCTGTGTCAATATATAGAGAGAACAACTGTTGAAGCATGTTCTTGGATGTTGATGTTATTGATGTTCTTTGATTACTTGATTTTGTTAAAATAATCTAACACACCCTCTACATGATCGCTCAAATCTGAGGAACTGAGTCGTAAGAAACACTTTTAAATATGTAATTCTGTCTGCTGTGTTACATAAATTCCTGTAATTTGAGTAATTATCTATAATGTCCACCAGAACCGTCAGTTCGCGTGAAATGTCGAAGTGGTATTCACAATGAAAATAGAAGTAAAACCACTCCACTTTCCTAAGGTCTCTCCGCTTGAATATTTCTGAGAATGAAGAAATTTAGACTAAAATGCTAGGACATGTAGCTCTAGATACTATCTTCTTGTTAACCACTATTACCCAATTGACTGTACATAATATTTTCAGCTCTACAAAAAACTGGACGGGCGGTAGGATTGGTGGTAGTCTTCTTTCCATGCAGGTTGCATCATTACTACATTTTTGGGAGTGTACCACTATATTTCGGCTAATACAACCCAAAATTAGCAGACTCAGCTAATCCGCCGGATCATAGCAAGTAGAATGGAGAAATTCAAAAATAGCTAGATTTACAAGTGATCATTCAAAAATAGCCACAATTTCAAAAGTAATCGAAATTTAGTCACTTTTCATGTAAAGATAAATTTGAACGAAAACACTGTTCAAAATCCGAAAAATATTCTAGTATATTATACTAGAATTCCAGCATAAGTATACTGGACTTCCAGCATAATATACTGGAGTTCCAGTATAATATACCGGTCCAACATAATATGCTGTAAGTTCATACACAAGTGCACCGATCTCCAGTATATTATGCTAGAACTTCATACACAAGTGCACCGATCTCCAGTATATTATGTTGGGACTTTTCGTGTTGCAACAAAATAGTGGCTGTTTTTCAATGACTTTGCAAACGCTAGCTATTTTTGAATGACCAGTCCGAAAACTGGCTAGCCCGTGCTATTTTTACCAAGTAGAAGTAGTTTGGAAGTTGCAAGAAATTAGTAAATCTACGTTTTCATGGCATGTTATAGTATCTCTTTTGTAAATGGATGTCGTGCGACAAAAAGTTATGCAAATATGTCTCTAGGACACGATGAAGTCAGAAATTATGCTTTTGCAAGGAGAGTATAATTTTGAGCATTTGCGGAGGTCAAAGTGTAACGACCCGGTTGGTCATTTTGAGAGTAATAGTCACGATCCCCTATTTACTGCTTCTCCCATATCTATTTCTGCTATTGTGACTTGTTGGGAGGTTTCGTTTGGGTTTTGGAGTGTTTTGGGACACATAATCCCTAAATGGAGGTTTAAGCCTTAGGATTTGGACCGTAGTCGGAACTGTATGAAGACGACTTCGGAATAAAATTCCTTTGGTTTCGTTAGCCCCGTTAGGTAATTTTGGACTTAGGGGCGTGTCCGGATTATGCTTTGGAGGCCCGTAGCTTATTTAGGCTTGCAATGGCGAAAGCCGATTTTTTTGAAGATTTTGACCGGTAGTGGACTTTTTGATATCGGGGTCGGATTCCGATTTCGGAAGTTGGAGTAGGTCCATAATGTTGAATATGACTTGTGTGCAAAATTTGGGTTCAATCGGGCGTGATTTGGTCGGTTTCGGCATCAGTTGTAGAATGTTGAAGTTTCAAGTTCTTAAGATTTGAATTAAAGGGCTATTCACAATTTTTAGCGTTGTTTGATGTGATTTGAGGGCTCGACTAAGTTCGTATGGTGTTTTAGGATTGGTCAGTATGTTTGGTTAGGGTCCCGGGGCCTCGGGCGTGTTTCAGATGCTCAACGGGTCATTTTTGGACTTAAGGAGTTGGCAGGTTTTGCTGGTGTTCTGCAGCTGGTTTCCTTCATCGCGATCGCGTGAGAAGGCTCGTGATCGCGTAGAGTAATTGGGAGACCAACTGGTTTATCTTTTCGCATTCGCCAAGAACGATACGCGATAGCGTGGGCTAGTATAACATACTGTACTATGTGGAACCAAAAGATCATCGTGTAAGTTGCAGGAAATTAGTAAATCTACGTTTCATGGCATGTTATAGTATCTCTTTTGTAAATGGATGTCGTGCGACAAAAAGTTATGCAAATATGTCTCTAGGACACGATGAAGTCAGAAATTATGCTTTTGCAAGGAGAGTATAATTTTGAGCATTTGCGGAGGTTAAAGTGTAACGACCCAGTCGGTCGTTTTGAGAGTAATAGTCACGATCCCCTATTTACTGCTTCTCCCATATCTATTTCTGCTATTGTGACTTGCTGGAAGGTTTCGTTTGGGTTTTGGAGTGTTTTGGGACACATAGTCCCTAAATGGAGGTTTAAGCCTTAGGATTTGGACAGTAGTCGGAACTGTATGAAGACGACTCCGGAATGAAATTCCGTTGGTTCCGTTAGCTCCGTTAGGTGATTTTGAACTTAAGGGCGTGTCCGGATTATGTTTTGGAGGTCCATAGCTTATTTAGGCTTGCAATGGCGAAAGTCGATTTTTTTGAAGATTTTGACCGGTAGTGGACTTTTTGATATCGGGGTCGGATTCCGATTTCGGAAGTTGGAGTAGGTCCATAATGTTGAATATGACTTGTGTGCAAAATTTGGGGTCAATCGGGCGTGGTTTGGTCGATTTCGGCATCGGTTGTAGAATGTTAAAGTTTCAAGTTCTTATGATTTGAATTGGAGGGTGATTCACGATTTTTAGCGTTGTTTGATGTGATTTGAGGGCTCTACTAAGTTCGTATGGTTTTTTAGGATTGGTCGGTATGTTTAGTTGGGGTCCCGGGGGCCTCGGGCGTATTTCAGATGCTCAACGGGTCATTTTTGGACTTAAGGAATTGGCAGGTTTTGCTGGTGTTCTACAGCTGATTTCCTTCATCGCGATCGCGTGAGAAGGCTCGCGATCGCCTAGAGTAATTGGGAGACCAGCTGGGTTATCTCTTCGCATTCGCCAAGAACGGTATGCGATCGCGTAGGTTCGTCAGGTTATGCATCGCGAACGCGTGGGCTAGGCCGCGTTCGTGAAAAAGAAATAAGGCAACAGTAGAATTGGGTGTTGTTCTTCGCGATCGCGTGAGGTAAGTCTGAGGAGCTATTTTATCGCGTTCGCGTGGAGAGTTACGTGTTCGCGTAGAGTAAAATAATGGGGCAGCGAAGTTGTTCTTCGCGATCGCGGGGGTGTTTCCGCGATCGCGATTAAGGTAAATATCTGGGCAGAATTAAGTTCAAAATCGAGGGTGTTTGGTTCATAACTCAAAATTTGATTGAGAGCTCGATAGAAGGCGAAATTTGGAGAGATTTTCGGAGGAAGTTTTTGGGTAATGATTCCTAACTCCTTTACTAATCTATGGTTGATTTCATCATTTAATTTCGGATTTTGGGGTTGAAATTGGGAAAATTTAGAAGAACTTCTTCAACAAAGATTTCGAGTTTTAAAAGGGGATTTGTGATCGGATTTGAGTAATTTTTATATGGTTAGACTCGTGAGTGAATGGTTGTTCGTATTTTGTAACTTTTAGAACGATTCCGAGATGTGGGCCCACGGCGATTTTTGAGTTAATATCGGAATTTTTGTTAAAGTGTTGATTTCATTAATTAGATGAGTCTATTGCGGTTGTATTTATGATATGTAATTACTTTTGGCTAGATTTGGGCCATTCGGTGTCGGATATTCGTTGAAAAGGCATTGTTACCGATTGATTGAGCTTGGTTCGAGGTAAGTGGCTTGCCTAATTTTGTGTGGGGGAAATTCCCTTAAGATTTGGAACTATTGTGATATGTGAGCGCCGTGTACGTGAGGTGACGAGTACGTACACTAGCTAGTTGTGGAAAATCCCAATTTTCTTACTGAGCAGCAATCTGTTTTCCTTTTATTTTGAGGTATACCATTTTAATGAGTATTAATCTATTTTCATTCTTAATTGAGTTATTCCAATATGTGTAGCTATCCTGTTTAGTCTAATACAGCATGCCTACTTACCCTAACTGTTTACTTGAACTACGTGCTACATGTTTAGTGAATTTACCTGTCTTTCCTTAACATGTACTTAGGTTGAAATGTAGAATTTCGTGCCGTAACTATTAAATTCTATTGTTTAGTTGCATATTTACTTTGGGACTACGGAATGGTATTCCAGGAGATCCCCCTGTACTTCATATTTACTTTAGGACTACGGAACGGTATTCCGGGAGATCCCCCGGTACTGCATATTTACTTTGGGACTACGGAACGATATTCCGGGAGATCCCCCCTGTCTTGCATATTTACTTTGGGATTACAGAACGGTATTCTGGGAGATCCCCCTGCACATTTATGTTTGGGACTACGAGACGGTATCTCGGGAGATCCCCTGTTGTTGTTGTTTTAGTGTACTGAGCTGTTGACTTGCTCTGATTTCATTCTTTGTTAAATTTCAGTATTTATTTTACTGCAATATTTCATTCTGTCTTAGTTTACTTTATATATACCAGTAGGGCCCTGAGCTGATCTCGTCACTACTCGACCGAGGTTAGGCTTGGCATTTACTGGTACCGTTGTGGTGTACTCATGCTACTCTTATGCACATATTTTGTGTGCAGATCCAGGTAATTCTTATCAGCCCCGCTACTAGCTGAGAGCGCTTGTTGCTATACGGACACTTCAAGGTATATCTGTCTCGTCCGCAGACCTCGGAGTCCCCCTCTATTCCCTCCTATGTCATTTACCTTCCTTACTTCTGTTATTAGACTCTGGTGTATAGAGATACTAGTTTCCTTCTGTAGCCTGTGACTTATGATATTTCGGGTTTTGGGATTTCTGTGTATATTTGAATAGTTGGTTATTGCACATGTTAGGAGACATGGTACCCAGTTATGTTGTTACTGCTTCAGTTAGTTGTTAAATTTATGTTTTTATTTTATTATTCCGCAAAATATTAGGCTTACCTAGTCGTAGAGACTAGGTGCCGTCACAACGTCATACGGAGGGGAAATTTGTGTCGTGACAGTTGGTATCAGAGCCCTAGGTTCATTGGTGTCATGAGTCACAAGCAAGTTTAGTAGAGTCTCGCGGATCGGTACAGAGACGTCT